CAGTCAAAGTAGCCATTCGACGTGGCGTACAGGCGTTATGTACCTATCGGTGTAATACATAATTCTCGGCGCGCTTCGTCGGGAACCGAGGGTACCGAGCGTACAACACCACCACCACACGAGCCATCCGACTGTCTCCGTCCACGCTCTGCGTATTTGTATTTGCGTATCGTCGTCACCTACATCGCCTACATGTCTCTATCTTCAACGAAACTCTCGAAAAAGCAGGGAGAGACCTCTTCCTCTCGTTCGAAGCGTAACGAAGAAGAGAAGAAATCGTATCGGCTCGATATTCCGAGACGATATCGCGATGGAATCGCGAAGCGTGAACCCGTGACGGTAGATCGTAACTTCGCGTTGCCTTTTTCGCTGCTGCCTGCGAAAAATCTCTTTTTCCTTTTCTCCCTCTCCATTCCTAATCCATATTCAGCAGAGACGCCAAGATATCGTCCTCCTCCTCGACTTTCCTAACTCGTCAATTTTTCTTTCTCTCCTTTTACCTCCATCCCCACGAGGACGGACGAAGCGAAAAACCTGGATTGACATTCGTCGAACCGACGAGAGCGAGCTTCTTCTCCCCTTCCTCTCCATTGGAACGTGATCGTGCGGAATGGGCACCTCTCGCCCCTCTCGCTACCCTCGCCCCACCGCGAGTGGGGGTAATTGGTATAGGAAACAAAATGTTGCGTTTTACGAGTTATCGCGAAGTATATTGGGCGGGCAAGATTGGCGGGCCGAAGAAGGAGTGCCCGATCTAATAACGATCGACTATGTCGGAGGCCTTTATTAACCGACGCAGAAACTGCGACCCGGCTACGCGCCTGCTTTAAAAACCCCCTTTCGGGACGCGCGCGAAACGACTTTTCCCAGAATCTCGCGTGACCACGGCCCTCGAATCTATCCAATATAACCCCTCCAATATATACGTATATATGTATATACACGTATACACGTATATATACACGCGCGTCGATCTCTTATCTCGATTAGACGATGTCTCAACCGTGTTATTTGCCGGCATAAAGGGAAAAATGGGAAAGCCGTCGCCGATTCGAGCGATATAATTGGTTCGGGTAATATAATTCCCATTCGAATAACATAAATTTAATATCTTTGCGCGAACGAGATGAGATCGATTTCGAACGTATTTCGATCGCTTGTAAATACCTTAGAACGAAACGAAACCGCTACTTTCAACGCACGCTTTACGAGCTAATTTGCGGCGTTGCGGCAATGGTATCCGAAGAGAATCGAAACGTCTCCCTTCGAAACTATTCGTTGGGGAACATTTGGAGAGCTTAAAATAGCCTCGAACACTCCGATTACCCGTCGAAATGTACACACGTCGAAAATGAAAAAAAACGGTTACCGTTTATTATTAATAACTTTTCGTATCGACCGAATGTAACAAAAATATATATATATATATAATACGTACTTGACAATAATCGTGCCTCGTCGCGAGGAAGAAGGAGAGGGAAGGGTGGAAACGGAGAGAGAAGGAAGGACTTTGTTCGTGGGTGAACGGTTTAACTTTGTTAGCGGCCGGTATTATCGGACGGACGAAAAAGACCGGGATTGGCATTGCGAAGAATAGCCGGGAGGGGGTGGAGTTTCATATGAAATACACGCGACATTTACTGCCTCCACCGGGCCGGGGCCCCTGCAAAGACGCAAACGCATTATAAATAGAACTTTCTCTCTTTCTCGCTCTCGGCCACCCCCGACCCCGGAGAGAAGTGCCATGCCCCTTCGCCCTTCCCTCCCCAGCTCTGGAGGCTCCAGCCCTTCCAGCCCTTCCGCCGGGCCACCAACAGATCGAGAAAGGGTTCGAAGGAAGGAGGGAGAAGGAGAGAGGGAGGGAGGGAGGGAGGGAGGGAGAGAGAAACCAGCCGCTACAATCCGCTTTATAATCTTGTTAGGATTTCGCGGCAATATTGGCATAATTTACGA